TTCAAAGAGTCCAAAATCATGCAAATGTAAATACTAGAGCTCGTGTTTGAACCCCTGCAATGTGACTCCAAGATTAGTTTCCTTCTCTGCTATTATCCACACCAAGCTCTGAATTGGTCAAAAACAGAGATGGTATCTTTTGATCTTTATATGCCTAGAATGTAAATATTGTTATCATTATTATTATTTTGAGACAGAGTCTCACTCTGTCACTCTGGGTAGAGTGCTGTAGCATCATAGTTCACAGCAACCTCAAACTCCTGGGCTCAAATGATCCTCCTGCCTCAGCCTCCTGAGTACTTGGGACTAAAGGCACCTGCCACCACACCAGCTAGTTTGTTTTCAGTAGAGATGGGGTGTTGCTCTTGCCCACACTGTTCTCCAATTCCTGAGCTCAAGCAATCCACCCACCTCCACCTCCCAGAGTGCTGGGATTACAGGTGTGAGCCACCGTATCCGGTCTACACGTCCATCGTTAAAGGAAATAATATGTAGGACACTTATTAAGGATGGTAAGGCAGATATCCTTTAAGGCAGAACCACTGTGGTTAAGTCTGGAGAAGGCAAGGGAATCCTGCGGCGGGGAGGGAATTGGGGTCTACGCCAAACACAACAAGGACAAGCAGGGAATGGCAGCCAAGGAGAAGTCTTGGGGGCAGTGATGGGACAGGCTACATGGGGTAGAGGGGATTCTGGACAGATCAACTCAACAGAACTCTTGCTGGGGGCAGACAAGACATTGAAGGTGGTCACACATCAAGGGTGGCGGTTTTCACCTAAATGACTTGGTAGGACTCTTGCTCAAACTGGGCTTTGCAAGCACAAAGAGAGATTCCCAATGTTGGGGCTAGTTGAGCAGAGGAGATAGATTCAAGTCAGATCAAGGAGAAAGACTTTGAGACCATCAGTTACAAATAAGATAGGCAGACTCTCCATTTTCTCTGAGGGCATGAAGTCCAGCCATTTCTCAGATACTCTGGGAACATACAACGTGGTACAGAGGCTTATGGTGCTTGTCAAGAAACTTCTGGTGATGGTCACTGCAACAGAACACACTTGAATGAGTCTGGGGAAAGAAAACTGAAGGTGTCACATCATGTCCCATTCATAGTTCCAGGTTTGAGAGCGATTCCAAATTTCAAACATCACCACCACCACCCCTGTTGCCATTTAAAGAAAGAAGAGCAGAAATAGACATTCCTTGCATAGAACCAGAAAACCACCTGAGGTTTGTGGTTTGCAAGGAAGTCAGGGAACTTTCACCTCGAGCCTTGAGCCAAGGGTCCAAATAAGCAAACCGCAGCGACGCTCTGTTTGGAAAGCACAAACCGCAGACAAATGGAGAAGATTTGCAGATGCATAAAAATAGATAGGGGTCAGGCAGGACTACAGAGTCGAGAGCCGTGGGCTGCAGGAGCCAGTACACGGTGTCTTGTTCTGTCCACCACCAGCTCTACACAGACAATGAAAGGCAAAGGGCAAGAGAGACGGGAGGGTGGGGCGTGGAATCAGCTCAACAGCCAGGACAGTGACACATGCAGACTCCCAGCCTTACCACGTTCCTGGGCAGGGAAAGCAGCTCAGCTGGGAGAGAAGATTCTGAGCCACCGTCCTCCCAAAGGCTTCCAGGAAAAGACTCTTGGGACCTCCTAGCTAGATCCACCAAAAAATAAAACTGTCCTGACACGATGGCTCACACCTCTAATCCCAGCACTCTGGGGGACTGAGGCAGCTGGATTGCTTGAGCTCAGGAGTTCTAGACCAGCCTGAGCAAGAGCAAGACCCCATCTCTACTAAAAATAGAAAAACTAGCTGGCCATGGTGACTGGTAGTCCCAGCTACTTGGGAGACTGAGGCAAGAGGATC